TTAATGGTTGAACTGGATGGACTTTTGTCTTTTTTCAGCCAGATTAACTATGTAACTATGGATTGGGGGCGGTAAAACTGCTACTCAACCGCAGGGTTTTACCACCCCTCCCCCCAACTTTACGTGTGAGCGAGCGCTAAGGGCTGATTCACAAGTGCAGCAGGCACTGCTGCTCCTCTGAAAAGCGATCTAAGTGTGTTTGATGGGTGGTGAGGAGGTGATATGTTGCCTCCTCACCACCTGATTTAAACCAAACAATTGCAGGCAATTGTGACAAGGTAGTATGGTAATTAGAGGTTTAAATTAGGTGTGAGGAGGCAACACTGTGCCCAGTGATCTTTGACTTCTCCCATATTGTTCAGGTAGACCTCTTTAAATTTGCCCTTGATTTAGGATATGCTTTAAACCTAAAATAAAAATATTTTGGAGGTTTTTTTTTCAAACACAAAACCAGTTTTTTTTTTCAGTTTTGGGTGTTGTAGGGTAGGTCTTAGTCTGCTGTCAATTCTTTAGTTCTGTACAGAATGAATCGTGCCATGGAGTCCTTTCGTACATTTTGTGACGTGCGGAGTCACTGACTGATTTTTGTCACTGGCTTTTCTACATTCTCAAAATTTCACACTGAGACAAGTAATGTTTCATGACAGCTCTAAGTACAAATCATTAATAAGAGGAGATTGAGCCCTTTCACTTGCCACCCACATAATGAAAGTTCAAATGAACCATCCCTCACTTTTTAAGCTATACTTGTTATATATTTTATATTATTTTTATAAGCATTGTGCATCTGAGTTGGATACTTTTGGCCATATAATAAAAACCTGTGTAATGTAAACAAAAATACAGTATGCATTTTGGTTATGTATTACAGAAGGAAAGATACAAAATAAGGGCAAAACAAGCTTAAAGCTGTACTCAACCCCCACCACCATGTTTTTTTTCCTACTTACCTGTACCATAGGGGTTGAAGGGTGTTAAAATGCAACAAATTTCCACTTGGGTGTTTTTTGGAGTTAAGATCTGCTTTAAGGCTGAACTTCAGGAAAACTGCTAAATACACAGATAACATAAATGTAATGCACCTGCCAAATTTTTTTTTTGTCTTTTTTTTATTTTTGTCTAAGCAGATGACATTACTTTCTATGTTATCGTTATATAGACTGTAAAAGGGACACATTGGTGTCTCCCCCCCTCCAGCCTGCTGACTGAAACATTAAAAGAGCAGCAGCAGATTTCTGAGGTTATCTGTCTGCTGACTATGGTCTCTCCTACTATCAAAATGTCTCTTGTCAGCATGTTTGCATGCAACACACCTGACTATGCATGTGCGATTTTCACTATAAATCGAAATTCAGATGAAATTTTTGTTATTTGGAGATTGACAAATATACGAATCTCTGAATCACAATAGTAACGGATTTCAACTAATCCAAAATAAATTATAACGAAATAACAAATTAATTTATATCCACTTGTTTCATTCGGATGGCATGATGGCAATCGCTTGGGCCTTTTGGTAATATTTAAAGCATCCAAAATAAATTAACGACATAATGAATTATCCAAATTTCAGATCCAATTTGTTTTTATTTTGCATTAACATTTTTCAATCTTATAAAAATCAAACTACATATGCAATAGAAACTTATAACAATAAATACAGTAAGGTATAAAAGTGAAATAAGATGATGATTCCTACTTATTGTGTTTGGGTTGGATGAAAGTGGATCAAAGGGGAATAATCGTAACATAACAAATAATCCGTAAATAGTTTTTTTTTCCATTTGTTCTTTCAAATATTGTCCAACCATTTTTTTTGTGGGTTGCGTTGGACTAGCAGGGATGACTCTGAGTGTATAAGTAATCTCATGAAATAATGAATTAACAAGCTACAACGAATATACAAAATACATTCAAATATACAAAAGGAATTTCAAAAACAAATCATTCTAAAAAAATAACAAATATAAACAAAATGAAATAACTATCATATAAATAACTATCTTAATCAGTGAAACAATTTCTTTTTCGTCATGCACATCTCTGCAACTGACTGGCTCCCAGTTTCAGTGCTGCTATATATTTGGATTGCAAGAATCTGATACCATGTGAAATTCAGATACTTACAATAGTTGCATTCACGCTTGTTTATTTTTATCAAAATATGTTTTCCATTGCAATCAATGAAAATGTGTTGCAATGCACTTCTGAACACATATCAATGCATGTTTAAATATATTACAAGTGTTCCTGGGCATGCCCCAGTGTGGCTTCTACGGAAATATTTCAGATAGATTAATGCAGCCATGGTATCATTCTTATGGGGCTCCTGTCAACCCTGCCTCAAGTTGTCGATATTACAAAAACCTTGGACCCTAGTGCATGTCCACAATTGGCTGATTGCCGACAAGACCAATGCATCTGTAATTCTCGTACGAGGCTCTACATAACCTCCTATGTAAAGGTGCCACTGCTCCCTTTACTGTCACCCTATTTATGAAACCGCTTAAAACCTGATGACTCTGGCACCCCTTATCCACTCATTGATGGTCCCCTGATACTCACTTTTGGCTAAATCCATCCCTGTCTGAATTCCTCTCCTTTCCAGAACCTATGGTTTTGGCCTTTAAGGGGATTAGGTACCTCAACTAAATTTGCAAGGGGGGGCACCTGGAAATCCTTTGATGTTTTTAAAGCAGCATGTCCTGCCTAACTCATACCTGCTTTGGTATTTTCATTTGGTACCTCCTCGGTGTTCTTGCTGGCCTCTGAGTTGGGGAGCCTGGTTAGAGATGAATGTCGCCCCTGGACTTTTCAGCAGCCATAATGAAGTATAAATTCAATATCGATAATTTTTCTTAAAATCAAGTTTTAATAAATTCCATAGAAAAAATACAATATGTGCATATAGGTAATGAGGAAGACAGGAGGTTTTTGTCATTTCCACCTTTAATGTTTACAGGTTGGGCTGTGGGATGAGTGCAACTGTGTTAGGAATGGACTGGCCAGCAATGGTGGGACTCACCTGCCTTTTGATCTGCAGTACCAGGGCTGGCCAGCGGGTGCTCCCAGCAAACAGAGACTCAACCTTCAGCCAGCTAACACCTGGAACTGATGATACTGGTGTATTTAAGGGATGGCCAGACTTGCAGACTCTGCCTTGGTAGTTGTGTTTGTCCTGGGCCCTGTATCTGTCCTGCATCCTGTTTCTGTTCCTTTGCTGACTTCTCCTGCTCTGATCCTGGGCTTGTGACCCTGACCATCCCTCGTCACTGACCCTCTGTACTACGCTGCTTGCTACCTGTTCTGATCCCTGGCTTGTGACCCGGACCATCCCTCTGCCTGACCCTCTGTACTATGCTGCTTGCTACCTGCTGAACCTGGCCCTGTGACCCCCGACCATTCTCCGCTTGCTCCCCCTGTACCTACCTGCCCATTGATATTGACCCGGCCTGCCTGACGACGCTTGCTTGTATATACTGTTATCTGTGGGTGGTTTGGTTTGTTTGCACCGTATTATGTTTTAGTATTGCACTGCGTTTATGTTTGTACTGTTAGTGTTAATAAATTATATTGTTTATAACATATCTGAGGTCTGCGTTTCCCTGCTTCAGTCACACACCTCTGGTCATACCTGGGAGCCCTGACATTACACCAAGGCCAATCCTGACCAGAAGTGGCTGCACAGGGAAGCCATCTTGGCTTGTTGATGGGAAGGATGGATCTTGAGGAGGTTGAGTATTTATATCTGCTGCTAGTGTTTGATGACAGGGAGTATGCTTATCAAACTCTGAAGGAGTATACCCGGGATGAATTGCTAGAATGTATACGGCTCGCTCAATGTTCTAGTGTAGATCAGGGCACAGTGTTCTCTGAGGTGCAGCCATTGATTGAGGTTTGTGCAGAGTTGGTTTCATCTGGTTCCCCCGAATGCAGGGATGAATTTTTGCCACCATTTAGTGCAGTCCCTGGTGTGGTTATTAGAGGATGATGTGGGTTATACTTTCTGGAGCGTTATTCCACATGTTCACCGCAGACACTAAGAGATTGTATATAACGCAGTGCAGTCATTGACCAGACAGACTTTGTGTAAGCTCAGCTTTGTTCAACCCCTACTGCAGTCATGGACAGATTTGTTGCACCCAGCCTCAGTCAGCTTACAAAGACCCAGTCCTGCTTCTAACTCTACTCCTGTATTCCCACCAGCTCCTCCAGTTACAGCCCTGTATACTTGGCTATCTACCGCATGTCAGTACCCTGTTCCCACTCGCTGCACCTATCCTGCCTTTAACCCTGTAAAAAAGCCCTCTGTAGCAACTGCTCCCTCTCTGTTCCATCCTCCAGTTCTTCTCTGTCTCCAGCTGCTCCATTCGTTTGCAGACCTGCGTTTACTTGCAGTGCTCCAGTAGTTAAAACCAGAAAAAAGCGAAAATTCTTTCCAACCAATACCATCCTGCCAGTATCCAAACCGGTGAACCTGCCTTCCGTGGTTCAGCCTGAAGCCTCTACTCAGCCTGATGCCTCTACTCGGCCTGATGCCTCTACTCGGCCTGAAGCCTCTACTCGGCCTGAAGCCTCTACGCGGCCTGAAGCCTCTACGCGGCCTGAAGCCTCTCCTCAGCCTGAAGCCTCTACTCGGCCTGATGCCTGTACTCGGCCTGATGCCTGTACTCGGCCTGATGCCTCTACGCGGCCTGAAGCCTCTCCTCAGCCTGAAGCCTCTACGCGGCCTGATGCCTGTACTCGGGCCTGATGCCTGTACTCGGCCTGATGCCTCTCTTCAGCCTGAAGCCTCTACTCGGCCTGATGCCTCTACTCGGCCTGATGCCTCTACTCGGCCTGAAGCCTCTACTCGGCCTAATGCCTCTACCCAGCATGATGAACTGATCCAGCCTGACGATCCTATTAGGCCAGTTGACTCGATGCCCGCTGTTGATCCAGATGATCCGGTACCTGATCCGGTGCCCGCTGTCGTGCCAATTGACTCAGAGCCCGCTGTCATACCTGGTGACTCGGTGCCCACTGCCTTGCCAGATGACGCGGTGCCCGCTGGCAAGCCAAATGACCTGATGCCTGGTGACCTAGTGTCCGCTGTCATACCTGATGACCCGATGCCCGCTGTCGAGCCAGACAATCCGGTACCTGATGACCCGGTGCCCACTGTCGTGCCTGTTGACTCGGAGACCACTGCCTTGCCAGATGACGCGGTGCCCGCTGTCGAGCCAAATGACCTGATGCCTGGTGACCCGATGCCCGCTGTCCAGTTCAGACGATCCAATGTCTGACCCAGTGCCCGCGGTCATACCAGTTGACTCGGAGCCCACTGCCTTGCCAGATGACGCGGTGCCCGCGGTCGAGCCAAAATGACCTGATGCCTGGTGACCCGATGCCCGCTGTCCAGCCAGACGATTCAATGTCTGCCCCGGTGCCCGCGGTCATGCCAGTTGACTCGGAGCCCACTGCCTTGCCAGATAACGCGGTGCTCGCTGTCGAGCCAAATGACTTGATGCCTGGTGACCCGATGCCCCGCTGTCCGGTCAGACGATCCAATGTCTGACCCAGTTTGCCCGCGGTCATACCAGTTGACTCGGAGCCCACTGCCTTGCCAGATGACGCGGTGCCCGCTGTCGAGCCAAATGACCTGATGCCTGGTGACCCGATGCCCGCTGTCCAGCCAGACCATCCAATGTCTGACCCAGTGCCTGCGGTCATACCAGTTGACTCGGAGCCACTGTCGTGCCTGGTGTCTCGGTGCCCGCCGCTCCGCCTGGGGGCCCGAGACCTGTTGCTCCGCTTGGGGGTCCAGCGCCCGCCGCTCCGCCAGGGGATCCGGCGCCCGCCGCCCCGCCTGGGGGCCTGAGACCTGTCGCTCCGCCTGAGGGCCCGAGACCTGTCGCTCCTCCTGGGGGTCCGGCGCCCGCCGCTCCGCCTGAGGGCCCGAGACCTGTCGCTCCACCTGGGGGTCCGGCGCCCGCCGCTCCGCCTGAGGGCCCGAGACCTGTCGCTCCATCTGGGGGTCCGGCGCCCGAGCCGCTCCTCGCCTGAGGGCCCGAGACCTGTCGCTCCTCCTGGGGGTCCGGCGGCGCCCGCCGCTCCGCCTGAGGGCCCGAGGACCCTGTCGCTCCTCCTGGGGGTCCGGCGCCCGCCGCTCCGCCTGAGGGCCCGAGACCTGTCGCCCCGCCTGGGGGCCGGTGCCTGTCGCCCCGCCTGGGGGCCCGGTGCCTGCCGCCCCGCCTGGGGGCCCGGTTCCTGCCGCCCCGCCCGGGGGCCCGGTGCCTGCCGCCCGCCCGGGGGCCCGGTGCCTGCCGCCCCCCGGGGGCCCGGTGCCTGCCGCCCCGCCCCGGGGGCCGGTGCCTGCCGCTCCGCCCGGGGGCCCGGTGCCTGCCGCTCCGCCCGGGGGCCCGGTGCCTGCTGCTCTCCGCCTGGTGGCCCGCTGCCTGCTGCTTCGCCTGGTAATCCGATGTGCCTCTGCCCGGAGTCCTGCCCGATGTGCCTCTGCCCGGAGTCCTGCCTGATGTGCCTCTGCCCGGTGTGTGCCTCTGCCCGGAGTCCTGCCCGATGTGCCTCTGCCCGGTGTGCCTCTGCCCGGAGTCCTGCCCGATGTGCCTCTGCCCGGTGTGCCTGCTGCTCGATGTGCCTCTGCCCGGTGTCCAGCCCGGTGAGCCGCTGCCCGGAGTCCTGCCCGGTGTGCCAGTCTTTGATATCCCGCCAGTTGCCAGACCCGGGCGGTGGAACATTTTGCCCAGCTAGGACTGTTTGGAGCGTCCTGAGGCCGCTCCTTGAGGGGGGGGGTACTGTTAGGAATGGACTGGCCAGCAATGGTGGGACTCACCTGCCTTTTGATCTGCAGTACCAGGGCTGGCCAGCGGGTGCTCCCAGCAATCAGAGACTCAACCTTTCAGCCAGCTAACACCTGGAACTGATGATACTGGTGTATTTAAGGGATGGCCAGACTTGCAGACTCTGCCTTGGTGTTGTGTTTGTCCTGGGCCCTGTATCTGTCCTGCATCCTGTTTCTGTTCCTTTGCTGACTTCTCCTGCTCTGATCCTGGCTTGTGACCCTGACCATCCCTCTGTCTGACCCTCTGTACTACGCTGCTTGCTACCTGTTCTGATCCCTGGCTTGTGACCCGGACCATCCCTCTGCCTGACCCTCTGTACTATGCTGCTTGCTACCTGCTGAACCTGGCCTGTGACCCCGACCATTCTCCGCTTGCTCCCCCTGTACCTACCTGCCCAATTGATATTGACCCGGCCTGCCTGACGACGCTTGCTTGTATATACTGTTATCTGTGGGTGGTTTGGTTTGTTTGCACCGTATTATGTTTTAGTATTGCACTGCGTTTATGTTTGTACTGTTAGTGTTAATAAATTATATTGTTTATAACATATCTGAGGTCTGCGTTTCCCTGCATCAGTCACACACCTCTGGTCATACCTGGGAGCCCTGACAAACTGGTTGCACCGGGCTCCTGTTAGGACTCTTAGGGGGCCCCAGGGGTCAGGGCGGGGACATGGATGCCCCAGGCAACTCACCCATACAGGGAATATGGTCTCTACATGTTGATTGTAAGTTTGTCCTAATACTATTGCTGTTAGGTGTGTTCATTGCTTTGTATTTTATGTTATGTAGCTTACATTGTCATTACCTGTATGTACATATTTTTTCTACCTAGTTATGCAGGTGTCTCCTTAAATTTCCCCTGATGAAGACTTGTTTATAGTTGAAACTAGGAATCTCCTACTGGAGACTGATCCAGGGAATCCTGTACTGGAGATGGATCCATGATACTGCATATTACATGTTGTTTAAGCCATTGGGCATTGTAACATACAGTGAGGAACAGAAGAATTTGAACACCCTGCGATTTTGCAAGTTCTCCCACTTAGAAATCATGGAAGGGTCTGAAATTCACATTGTAGGTGCATTCCCACTCTGAGAGACAGAATTAAAAAAAAAATTCAGGAAATCACATTGTATTGATTTTTAAAGAATTTATTTGTCTTGTATCTGCTGAACATAAGTATTGGAAACACCTGTGTTAATATTTGGTACAGAAGCCTTTGTTTGCAATTACAGAGGTCAACGTTTCCTGTAGTTCTTGACCAGGTTTGCACACACTGCAACAGGGATTTTGGCCCACTCCTCCACACAGATCTCCTCTAGATCTGTCAGGTTTCAGGGCTGTCGCTGAGCAACACGGAGTTTTCAGCTCCCTCTAAAGATGCTCTATTGGATTTAGGTCTGGAGACTGGCTAGGTCACTCCAGAACCTTGATATGCTTCTTACGGAGCCACTCCTTGGTTATCCTGGCTGTGTGCTTCAGGTCGTTGTCATGTTGGAAGACCCAGCCACGACCCATCTTCAATCCTCTGACTGAGGAAAGGAGGTTGTTGCTCAAGATCTCACAATAAATGGCCCCATTAATCCTCTCCTTAATTACAGTGCAGTCGTCCTGTCCCCTTCACAGAAAAGCACCCCCAAAGCATAATGTTACCACCTCCATGCTTTACAGTAGGGATGGTATTCTTGGGATGCAACTCATCCTTCTTTTTCCTCCAAACTCGGACGAGTGAAGTTTAGATCAAAAAGTTCTTACTTTGGTCTCATCTGACCACATGACTTTCTCCCATGCCTCCTCTGGATCATCCAGATGGTCATTGGCAAACTTCCAGACGGGTTGGACATGTGATGACTTGAGCAGGGGAACCTTCCGTGCAATGCATGATTTGAAACCATGATGGCATAGTGTTCTACCGACAGTGACCTTTGAAACTGTGGTCCCAGCTCTCTTCATGTCATTGACCAGCTCCTCCCTTGTAGTTCTGGGTTGATTCCTCACCTTTCTTATCATCAGTGATACCCCATGAGGTGAGATCTTGCATGGAAGCCCCCAGTCCGAGGGAGACTGACAGTCATCTTTAGCCTCTTCCATTTCTCTAACAATTGCTCCAACAGTTGATCTATTTTCACCAAGCTGCTTGGCAATTGCCCCACTAGCCCTTTCAGCCTTGTGGAGGTCCACAATTTTGTCTCTGGTGTCTTTTGACAGTTCTTTGGTCTTGCCCATGGTGGTAGTTGGCGTGACTGACTGACCGTGCAGGGTGGACAGGTGTCTTTAATGAGCTCAGGCAGGTGCTACTGAGTTAGTTAAGGAGTGGAGTAGAGGTGGACTTTTTAAAGGCACAGTAACAGGTCTTTGAGAGCCAGAATTCTTGCTGTTTCTTAGGTGTTCAAATACTTATGTTCAGCAGTGCAAGACAAATAAATTCTTTTTAAAAATCATACAATGTGATTTCCTGAATTTTATTTTTTAAATTCTGTCTCTCAGAGTGGGAATGCACCTACAATGTGAATTTCGGACCCCTCCATGATTTCT